GCCTTGCTAAAATTAGGCAAAAGTCACTAGTCCAGTCCTCCTGCAGTCATGGCAGGACTAAGTATTATCTAGACCATTCCTGACAGGTGTTTGTCTAAGCGGGGGAATAGTCCCGCTATTGTGGGGAACTTTCCTGGCTTCTGTGCTACCCCAGCGAAGTGGGATAGCGAAAGGATGAGAGTCCTCGCTCCCACTTCCTTTACCCAGTGGCCTCCCTGCCTTTGAGGACTCTCCTTCCACTCTCCTGTCTGGCAGAGTCCTCGTAACCCCAACAAGGCTGGGCCCAGGATTCCTGGGGGCTTGACCCCCAACCCTGCTGTGGTCACCTAGGACAGGGGCTAGGGTGTCCCCACTCCGGGGTACTCTCTCTGCACTGCGCACTTCTCTGACCCACTGACCATTACATACAAGTTAAAGCAAATGCAAGTTATTTAATCAACAATTAATTTTAAAAAGAATAAGGAAAAATGGGAAAGGTTAAATGGAACACATCAACCCGCTCTGGGGCAGGGAACATCACAAACAGTGTCTCTGGAATGTCAGGGCAGTTCACAGTCTGTTCCTTGTAAGTCCTAGGCCTTCTTCTAAGGCCCTAACTGTGCTGTAGAGATGCTGTCAGTTGGACACTTGCTCTGGTGGTGGCCACACACTCTCAGGCTCTAAGTGGTAGGACCCTTCTTCCCAGTGTCGCCCCCGCCCTGTCGGGGTTACGATCCAAGCCTGGCCTGCAGAGCCTCTTGGCTGAGGCGTCTCCCTGTGCTGGGCCCGCTGCTCAGGGTCCCCCTCAGTCTCCCTAGCTGCTCACCGCACCCGGCTCCAGACTACTCCAGCCCCAGCTCCACCACTCTGTCTCAGCACTGCTGCTGCTCTGCCTCCAGCTCCCTGGGCTGCTTCTTTGGTCCCTCTGCCTCTGGTTGCTACAGCTCTGCTCCCAGGACAGGTCTGCTCTGCAGGCTGCTTCTGTGACTCTGCTCCCAGCACTGACTTGCTTCCTGGGCTGCTTTTCTGGCCCCTCTGGCTCTGGTTGCTGCAGCTCTGCTCCCAGGACAGGGTCTTCTCTCTCTGGATCTGGCACAGCTCTGCTCCCCAGCTTAGCTTGGGCCCCTGCTTTCTCCTTAGCTTGGCCCCACTCTGTCTGACCCAGGCAAATCCAGCTCACACGGAGGACGGGACCTCCCTGGCCTCCTGACTCCCTCATTAGCCTGCTCACCCTGTCATTCAGGCTGTCCTAGAGCATTGTCCTGGGGACTGTCAGTTTCAGGGTCCTGATTCCCCATCGACCCTTCCCCCCTTTTTGTACTGGGAGCTAGCAACTAAAACACCCCCACTGAATGTTAGTAAGGGGGCAACAGTCCCCTTACATTTGTCTAACCTGCTTTTAAATATCTCCAACAATGGAGATTCCACAACCTCCCTAGGCAATTTATTCCAGTGCTTAACCACCCTGACAGTTAGGAAGTTTTTCCTAATTTCCAACCTAAACTGCCCTTGCTGCAATTCAAGCCCATTGCTTCTTGTCCTATCCTCAGAGGTTAAGGAGAACAGTTTTTCTCCCTCTTCCTTGTAACAATCTTTTATGTACTTGAAAACGGTTATCATGTGCCCTCTCAGTCTTCTCTTTTCCAGACTAAACAAACCCAATAAACACACACTACTGAATAGTTCAGAATAAATATATTGTACATTATGGAGGCCTTTAAAGTAAGGAAAGCCAAATAAATTGAATAACCCATTTAATATGCTAGTGTTAAACTCTTATATTCTTGGTGTATTCCAATAATAATGACCTGGACCAAGTTTAATAAAGCTGATATTTTTTCTCTTAGTTCCAAAGTCACTTTTTCCCTACTTCAGAAAAACCAAATTTGTCTCCACCAATTTTCCTCCACTGGCTGTAGTGACAATTCTACCTCAATAACTAGCTGCAGGCAATAATGCCATAAGTAATATATTGCTGGCCCTATGGCCCAAGTTGTCATCCAGTATTTGGGGCCTTGCCCGGTTGTTTCTGTCAGGAAGAGAAACTGACGATACCAGTCAGGTATTTCTTTGGTGCAATCCTATTCATTTACAAAGAACATACACAAAGTCTGTTTCCCAGCCATCCTTCCCCTCCCACTCTGTTGCTGTTTCCTACCATTCCCCATAACCTGACTTCTACATAAGCACAGAAAAGAAGAAATAATGTAACAAGATGTGTACTCACAATCATCCTGTTCAACTTCCTAGTATGTTATACGCCGCACCAGAAATGGACACTTTCAAGTATAAAAAAAAGGAAAAGAGAGAAGTTAAAATGTTGACCCTCAAGTATTTAATAAGCCAAGAGATGCCAGGGAAAGCTGACCTGGGTGTGTATTCCAGACATGGAAACTCAGTGGTATAAGAGAGGAAATTCCCTGCCTCAGCCCTGATGCTGCCAGTAACTCTGCACTAGAGCAGAAAACCCCAGTGAAGTCAACAGAGTTTCACATGGGCACAGGCGCCCAGCCGCAGGGAGTCACCTGCAGGATTGGAGCCTTAGGGTATGTCTACACTATGAAATTAGGTCAAATTTATAGAAGTCGGTTTTGTAGAAAGCGTTTTTATACAGTTGATTGTGTGTGTCCCCACATAAATGCTCTAAGTGCATGTAGTCGGCGGAGTGTGTCCACAGTACCGAGGCAACCGTCAACTTCCGGAGCTTTGCACTGTGGGTGGCTATCCCACAGTTCCCACAGTCTCCGCTGCCCATTTGAATTCTGAGTAGAAATCCCAGTGCCTGATGGGGCTAAAACATTGTCCCGGGTGGTTCTGGGAACATATCGTCAGGCCCCCGTTCCCTCCCTCCCTCCATGAAAGCAAGGGCAGACAATTGTTTTGCACCTTTTTTCCTGAGTTACCTGTGCAGACGCCATACCACGGCAAGTATGGAGCCCGCTCAGCTCACTGTCACCATACGTTTCCTGGGTGCTGGCAGACGTGGGACTGCATTGCTACACATCAGCAGCAACCCATTGCCTTGTGGCAGCAGACGGTACAATAGGCCTGAAAACCATCCTCATCATGTCCGAGGTACTCCTGGCTGCCTCGCTAAGGTCGGTCAGGAGCGCCTGGGCAGATATGGGTGCAGGGACTAGAGTGACTCGACCAGGTCATTCTCTTTAGTCCTGCAGGCAGTCCTATTGTACCATCTTATGGTGAGCAGGCAGGAGATGTGGATAGCTAGAAGTCTTTCTGCACCGTCTGCTGCCAGCCAAAGATGTAAAATATAGATGGAGTGGATCAAAACAAGAAATAGACCAGATTTGTTTTGTATTCATTTGCTCCCCTGTCCCTTCATGAAGTCCTGCCTGAAATACCAGAGGGACGGATAGCTTAGTGGGTTGAGCATTGGCCTGCTAAACCCAGGGGTTTGAGTTCAATCCTTGAGGGGGCCATTCTGTGTGACAGGTGTTTTTGTTTCTCCTTGATGTAAAGCCACCCCCTTCATTGATTTTAATTCCCAGTAAGCCATGTAGTCAGTCACCCCTCCCTCCATCAGGGCAACGGCAGACAATCGTTCTGCGCCTTTTTTCTGTGCAGATGCCATACCACGGCAAGCATGGAGCCTGCTCTGGTCACTTTGGCAATTAGGAGCAAATTAAACACCACACACATTATCCAGCAGTATATGCAGCACCAGAACCTGGCAAAGCGATACCAGGCGAGTAGGTGATGTCAGCGCGGTGACGAGAGTGATGAGAACATGGACACAGACTTCTCTCAAAGCATGGGCCCTGTAATCATGGTGCTAATGGGGCAGGTTCATGCAGTGGAATGCCAATTCTGGGCTTGGGAAACAAGCACAGACTGGTGGGATCGCCTAGTGTTGCACGATTCCCAGTGGCTGTGAAACTTTTGCATGCGTAAGGGCGCTTTCCTGGAACTTTGTGACTTGCTTTCCCCTGCCCTGAAGCGCATGAATACCAAGATGAGAGCAGCCCTCACAGTTGAGAAGCGAGTGGCAATAGCCCTGTGGAAGCTTGCAATGCCAGACAGCTACCGGTCAGTTGGGAATCAACTTGGAGTGGGCAAATCTACTGTGGGGGGCTGCTGTGATGCAAGTAGCCAATGCAATCAAAGATCTGCTGATCTCAAGGGTAGTAACCCTGGGACATGTGCAGGTCATAGTGGATGGCTTTGCTGCAATAGGATTCCCTAACTGTGGTGGGGTGATAGACAGAGCCCATATCCCTATCTTGGCACCGGAGCACCAAGCCGCCGAGTACATAAACCGCAAGGGGTACTTTTCAATAGTGCTGCAAGCACTGGTGGATCACAAGGGACGTTTCACCAACATCAGCATGGGATGGCCAGGAAAAGTACATGATGCTCACATCTTCAGGAACTCTGGTCTGTTTCAAAAGCTGCAGGAAGGGACTTTATTCCCAGACCAGAAAATAACCGTTGGGGATGTTGAAATGCCTATAGTTATCCTTGGGGACCCAGGCTACCCCTTAATGCCCTGGCTCATGAAGCCATACACAGGCAGCCTGGACAGTAGTCAGGAGCTGTTCAACTACAGGCTGAGCAACTGCAGAATGGTGGTAGAATGTGCATTTGGACATTTAAAAGCGCGCTGGCGCAGTTTACTGACTCGCTTAGACCTCAGCGAAACCAATATTCCCACTGTTATTACTGCTTGCTGTGCACTCCACAATATCTGTGAGAGTAAGGGGGAGATGTTTATGGCAGGGTGGGAGGTTGAGGCAAATCGCCTGACCATTGGTTACGCGCAGCCAGACACCAGGGCAGTTAGAAGAGCACAGGAGGGCGCGATGCGCATCAGAGAAGCTTTGAAAACCAGTTTCATAACTGGCCATGCTACGGTGTGAAAGTTCTGTTTGTTTCTCTTTGATGAAACGTCCCGCCCCTTGGTTCACTTTACTTCTCTGTAAGCTAACCACCCTCCCCTCCTCCCTTCGATCACTGCTTGCAGAGGCAATAAAGTCATTGTTGCTTCATATTCATGCATTCTTTATTAATTCATCACACAAATAGCGGGATAACTGCTAAGGTAGCCCGGGAGAGGTGGTGGAGGAGAGAAGCACTGCGAGGAGTGGTGGAGGAGGAAAGGACAAGGCCACACAGCACTTTAAAAGTTTAAAACTTTAAAACTTATTGAATGCCAGCCTTCTGTTGCTTGGGCAATCCTCTGGGGTTGGGTGGCTGGAGGCCCCCCCACCGCGTTCTTGGGCGTCTGGGTGAGGAGGCTGTGGAACTTGGGGAGGAGAGTGGTTGGTTACACAGGGGCTGTAGCAGCGGTCTGTGCTCCTGCTGCCTTTCCTGCAGCTCAACCATACGCTGGAGCGTATTAGTTTGATCCCCCAGCAGCCTCAGCATTGAATCCTGCCTCCTCTCATCATGCTGCCACCACCTTTCAGCTTCAGCCCTCTCTTCAGCCCACCACTTACTCTCCTAAGCCCACCACCTCTCCTCCCGGTCATTTTATGCTTTCCTGCACTCTGACATTGTCTGCCTCCACACATTCATTTGTGCTCTGTCAGTGTGGGAGGACAGCATGAGCTCAGAGAACATTTCATCACGAGTGCATTTTTTTCACCTTCTAATCTTCACTAGCCTCTGGGAAGGAGAAGATCCTGTGATCCTTGAAACAATATGCAGCTGGTGGAGAAAAAAAAAGGGACAGTGGTATTAAAAAAGACACATTTTATAGAAAATGGGTACACCCTTTCACAGTAAACCTTACTGTTAACATTACATACATAGCACATGTGCTTTTGTTCCAAGGTCGCATTTTGCCTCCCCCCACCACGTGGCTAGCCTCTCCCCTCTCCCCCCTCCCTGTGGCTAACAGCGGGGAAGATTTCTGTTCAGCCACAGGCAAACAGCCCAGCAGGAATGGGCACCTCTGAATGTCCCCTTAAGAAAAGCACCCTATTTCAACCAGGTGACCATGAATGATATCACTCTCCTGAGGATAACAGAGAGATAAAGAACGGATGTTGTTTGAATGCCAGCAAACATACACTGCAATGCTTTGTTCTACAATGATTCCCGAGTACGTGCTACTGGCCTGGTGTAGTAAAGTGTCCTACCATGGAGGACGGAATAAGGCTACCCTCCCCAGAAACCTTTTGCAAAGGCTTTAGGAGTACATCCAGGAGAGCTGCAAATGCCAGGGCAAATTAATCACTAAACATGCTTGCTTTTAAACCATGTATAGTATTTTAAAAGGTACACTCACCAGAGGCCTCTTCTCCGCCTGGCGGGTCTGGGAGGCAGCCTTGGGTGGGTTTGGGGGGTACTGGCTCCAGGTCCAGGGTGAGAAACAGTTCCTAGCTGTCGAGAAAACTGGTTTCTCCGCTTGCTTGCTGTGAGCTATCTTCCTCGTCCCCAAAACCTGATTCCGTGTTGCCTCCATCTCCATTTAAGGAGTCAAACAACATGCTGGGGTAGTGGTGGCTGAACCCCCTAAAATGGCATGCAGCTCATCATAGAAGCGGCATGTTTGGGGCTCTGACCCGGAGCGGCCGTTTGCCTCTCTGGTTTTCTGGTAGGCTTGCCTCAGCTCCTTAAGTTTCACACGGCACTGCTTTGGGTCCCTGTTATGGCCTCTGTCCTTCATGCCCTGGGAGATTTTGACAAATGTTTTGGCATTTTGAAAACTGGAACAGTGTTCTGATAGCATGGATTCCTCTCCCCATACAGCGATCGGATCCTGTACCTCCCATTCAGTCTATGCTGGAGCTCTTTTGCGATTCTAGGACTCCATCATGGTCACCTCTGCTGATGAGCTCTGCATGGTCACCTCTGCTGATGAGTTCTGCACTCACCTGCAGCTTGCCACGCTGGCCAAACAGGAAATTGAAATTCAAAAGTTCGTGGGCCTTTTCCTGTCTACGTGGCCGGTGCATCTGAGTTGAGAATGCTGTCCAAAGCGGTCACAATGGAGCACTCTGGGATAGCTCCCGGAGGCCAATACCATCTAATTGCATCCACAATACCCCAAATTCAACCCAGCAAAGCCAATTTCAGCGCTAATCCCCTTGTTGGGGATGGAGTAAGGAAATTGATTTTAAGAGCCCTTTAAGTCGAGAAAAAAAAAGGGCTTCGTCATGTAGACGGGTGCAGGGTTAAATCCATTTAACGCTGCTAAATTCGACCTCAACTCCTAGTGTAGACCAGGACTTAGAATTTAGTTTTCCCATAAACTTTACACGCCTTGTTTCATGCTAAGAAAACTGAAAAGCAGCTGAACAGATTTTCCCCACCCTTTAAATTGGGGTGTGGGAAGGGTCCCTCGCAGTAAAGCAGAATTGAAAGTTATGCTGATCAGAATATGCTGAATTCTGCTTAACAGTTCATGATTTGCAGGCACCACTGTAAAAAATACAGTCAGTGTAAAAGGTAAATAAAGATAGTTATGCTCAAAAGCTTCTGAAATGTAGCATCAACAGGATAACTGTTTGAATAACATTGAACCTGTGATGTGCTTTCTAAACAGCATGTTGTCGTTCTAAGGGAAAATCAGTGTTCTTGCAGGCAGCTGAAGGACTGGCTTGTTAACAGAGCTGAGGGTCATAGGTAGCAGAATGCAGACAGATCCAAGAACAGGATGAGTGACACTGGAAAAAATTAGTCCAGTTGGAGCAGATGCTCACACAGGTAAATATCATAGGTTTTGAATAGTTTCTCTTATGTATACAGCTCCAGAATTAAATGAATGTTGTTTGGTAGCTATAGCTTTCCGCCTTCTCTAGGATTTCCCCAAGATAGCACAGAAAACAACCTATGATCTGGGATGTTAACTGTAAGCTCTCACAAAAAGATATCAGTTTATCCTTATACAGGTCCTTATACAGTAGAACCTCAGAGTTACAAACACCTAGGGAATGGAGGCTGTTCGTAACTCTAAAATGTTTGTAATGTCAAACAAAACGTTATGGTGGTTCTTCCAAAAGTTTACAACTGAACATTGACTTAATACAGCTTTGAAACTTTACTATGCAGAAGAAAAATGCTACTTTAACCATCTTAATTTAAATAAAACAAGCACAGAAACATTTTCCTTACCTTGTCAAATCTTTTTTTAAACTTTTCCTTTGTTTTTTTAGTAGTTTACGTTTAATACAGCACAGCACTGAACTGTATTTGCTTTTTTTTTGGCCGTGTCTCTGCTGCTGCCAGATTGCATACTTCCAGTTCCAAATGAGGTGTGTGCTTGACTGGTCAGTTCGTAACTCTGAGGTTCTACTGTATTTCATCTAGCAAGGAGAGTTCTTGCCTCCAAGGCATGGTTCTTATCCTCACATGGAAATTTTATTTTAAGTATCGTCTGCTCCTTCTCTATAACCATTCCCGACACCCTAGGAGAAAGAACAAATTATCTTTGTGGAGAACATGGTAGAGAGGCATAAGCCTTCCCTTAGGAATGCCCAACAATGCGGTGAACTCTGTTGTCAATTTAGCATGAAGAGATGTTTCCCTGGAAAATAATCCCAATATAAGGAACCTCTCCCATCAAGTGCAGAGCTACTGTAGCCAACTCCCTGACAGCTCCTGGGATAAGGAGTGGAAAGGGTATGGTCCGGGTTTAGGAATGTCCCAGCAGGTCCCCAGTTGTGGCAATACCCACAGGGGTCAAAGCATCTGAGATGTAATTTAGGGCAGCCCTCAGACTACCCTAGCCTATGCTGAACCAACCTCTCAGCAGCTCCAGAATGGGGGAAGTGCAAGGTGCTGTCCTTGTGCCAGATAGTTCATCCCTGTGCTAGTGCAGTGAGACCTTCATCTCCAGCTGACTCCTCACAATATGACAGACATGCACATAACAGGAGCTAGGAGACAACACAAATGAGAGTTAGCCAGTCTATTCAGACATACATCAATAGAACAAAAAAACATCCAGAGATTCCTTGAGAACACTAGGAGCATGGGGCATTGTTACCAAAAACAGGAGCATTAAAGTTCAGATATTTTTTGAAAGATCATATCTGTTTAAAAACTGAGCAAGCCACACCTGGAGTCACCGACACACAATAAATGTGGAACACCACAATGCCATTTTCACAGGGTTGCTTTCCAAACTACTAGCACTGTAAATACAATCTGGGATCTGAGAAGCAGGCTGGAGCTTATCTTCTTACACCTGAGTAGGTTAAATCCAGCCCTACGTTACACTTGTTCAGCCTATTTAATTGATTGCACTGGTGAAAATTAAAGCACAACAGCCATCTATTTTTCCCCCTCTAATTTTAAGTGATGCAGATTTCATCATATTACCCCGTAGAGGTGAGGGCCGGATGTTGTAGTAAACATGTATTGTCAGTGCAGGCTCAAGATTTCCTCCCCCTTTTCAAAACCGACAAGATTATTTTTGAGTTAGTGACAAAAAAATGTCCCTTTCATGTACTTATTTTCTAAGTTCTAAACAGATATTTGGGGCCTGATCGTGCAGCCCTTACTTACAAGAGTAATTCTCACTTACATGCTTAATGCCAATGAAATCAGTGGAACAACTTGAATAATCAGGACCAAGTTCTCAGAAATGTCTGCCGATAGCATTCACTTAGTGAAGCAGTGCCACATGAAATTTCGAAACAGGAACATTTTGAAAGGCTGAGACAGAGACATGAGTTTTGAGAAGAAAAACCATTGGTAGTGTTTTCCAGGAAAAGGCATTCTGTTTTCCCACACTCGCTAAAAATAAAATTGAGTTTGTCTCCTCCGTGTTTGTTTCACTACATGTGACATTTTAAAATTTGCTTTGAAAATACAATTGGTGAGTTAATTGAATTCTTATGCTAGATCCATGCTACTGGCCGGAACCAAGAGCCAGCAGGCACTGGGTAAAAATTTCTACACGCAGCTCTGCCACTGAAAGTCAACCATACCTTCCTAAACCACTAGTATGGTGCCTTAGCTATGCCCTTCAAGAGGAACGAGGGTGAAACCACCATGGGCATTCTATGGCAGAATCTGAATTCATGATTTAAATACTGGTGTTACAAGAAGAACACAAAGCACCTCATTATGAATTTCACCATCTTGATACAAACATTTTCCAAACTATTTCCCACTTTCGATAGACACAAAGACCACTTGCCAGTTTCCTCCTTTCCCCACATTTACCATAATCATGGGAAGAAGTGCTCCAGTGTGAAATTGTAATTGGAAATTATTTTAATGCAAGTCAACAGAGACTTCATTACCGAAAAGTTAAAATGTGAGATTTATATGGCAAAATAATTTCAAGTTAAGTCTTTAAAAACCTCCGTTCAGGGCCATTCAAATATAATATTTCCAGTCTAAGAAAGACTGTGATGATGTGATTACAATCCTAAAACAAATATGAGAAAATTTGGAGATCAGTTTTGTAATAATGAAATAAGGTCAATGCAAATCAAATTACTTTTAATGCAAATGAAATTAAACAAAAACAAAACAATATTAGGACATAAGTCCACAACAGTAAGGGAAATTCTGAGTTAAGGCTTGATGCAATTCTGGTGAAAATGTCACTGTGGAAAAGTGTTGGGGGGGAGGGGAAGTACCTTATTCTTTATTATATTTGCTCCGTGTGTGTCTTCAATTCATACCTACTTAAGAGTAAATTAGTGATTTATAAGATTATTGCACAGTTTACTTGGATGCTACATGTTTCGTGTTAATAAATTAAATATGAAGAACTCAGCCATCATGTACTTTGTACAGACTAGTATGTATAGTCATGTAGGATTGCATTTATTGAGTATTTGTCTCTTCCCCCATCATTCCTCCTTCCCCTTCTCACAGTTAAAATGTCCTCCTGAGGAACAGAATCAAAACTGTGCTAATGATGCTCCTCCTGCCCCTAATATTTCCCAAGAAGTAAGAGCAAAGAATAGAGACTGACAGGCATTGTATCAAATTCAGTCCGCAGCTGCTCTGAGGATGGGCTGCTGCATTACACAGCTGAGGGGCATTGGTTTGTCTTTCATCCCTCCTATTAGTGTTTCTCTCCCTTGCACATCTCCAGCAACTCTTGACCTGTTCTAACAGGAGTCCCTAGCAGGAGTGTGAAACTGACAAGGATTTTCTCAGTCACTGCTGCTCCTGCTGGAATGCCTGGTAAAACAGCAGCAACAGCAGCAGGTGAGAACCTGGAGGGAGAAAAAATCTTAAAGGCTAAAAAGAGTGGTCTAATGGCAGCACACACTACTTTGAGTTGATTTTAGTCTTGCTCGCTGGGCCAGGAGGGCTAGGAATACTGGGGAAAGCATCCTGTGTCAGCCTAGTGACCCTCTCTTGTTTCAGTGAAAGAACAATGTGACTGGTGGGGGACGAGTGGCCCAGTCTCAGCGGAAGGGAGGGTCACTGTTATACAAAGCCTTTCCTAGATTCCTCAGTTCCAATGCCAGAAGGGACCGTTGTGATCATTCGGATGTGTCTACAGCCACTGGAGCGGCACAGCTGTGGGCCTGCAACTGTGCCCGTGTAGCATGGTAGAAAAAGAATTCTTCCATTGACCGAGCTGTGTCTACACCTGGGGTTAGGTCAGCCTACCCACAATACTCAGGGTGCAAATCTTGTCATAGCCCTGAGTGATGTTGCTAGGTCAATCTAATTTTTAAGTGTAGACTAGGCCACAGTCTGATCACCTGTGTCACACAGGCCATAGAATTTCCCCAAATAATTTATTTTGAACTAGAGCACACTGTTAAAAAAAATCCAATCTTGATTTAAAATAATAATCCTCACTGTTAAAAATGTAGGCTTTATTTCTGATCTTAATTTGTCTAGTTTCAACTCTAGCCATTAGATATTGCTATACCTTTGTCTGCTCGATAGGTATTTACATATTGTGATCAAGTCACCCCTTAACTTTCTCTTTGTTAAGCTTTGAGGGGGAAGGCAATAAAAATGGGGCTCCTGGAAATCAACCATTCTCCAGAAGGAGTGGGTGTCAAAGAGATGGAGGAGAGGAAAGATGCAAAGACACAGCATGAGGATAGAAACATTACAAGAGATAAGTGGCCTGGGGGTTGAGAGAAACAAGAAATCCAAAAAGAGAGTGTGGAGTGGAGGAGGGAAAGAGAAAGACCCCGGGGAGGAGAGGAGAGAGAAAAGAGAACAGGAAAAACACAGACAAAGAAGATGAATTGGTTAATTTTAGAGAGGAGACTTGTAACTGAAAGGACCGTAGGTAGCTGAAGCCTCCCTTTTAATTATAAAATTCCCCAGTTGAGGATGTGAATGAGGGCAATTCAGTTTTGCTGGCCCAGAGAGCGGAAGGGGAAATGTACCCCTGATGTGCATATTGTTGGTAGAGCCACTGACCTGTCTGTGTCTCCCTTTCTGTCACTTCCCATCTTTTCATGGACTGAGTGGTGCCGCCATCCTGAACCCGCAGGACAAAGACATGGAAACACATACATCAATATTTTCTAAATGAGTTTTAATGTCAAGTGTATTTATACACTTACATTGTTGAAAACCTCACTTTTTTTCTTCAATGACTATGAGGCCAATAGTGTGCTGCAGAAGCACATGTGGAGTGGAGCCCACTTGGGCGGTTCAAAAATACTGCCCTTACGTATATTTCAGGACTGCATCAAAACTATACTTAGGGTGTGGAATTTATCTTCATGGGATGAGTGTGACTTCATCATCTACAAAGAGAGTTGTCGTGAGTGGGTAATGCAGACCCCCCTCTCAAGTGTGAAGTCCGAATCATCAGTATAGTTCATGTATTTAAAGTGTTTATCTGGGACCCGTGGCCCTGGTGTCTGGGTGCCTCTCCGTCTGCCTAAAAATAAACAAATATCAGTTACCCAAATGGGTGACTCATAATCACGCACAAACCCCCTTATAGCAAAGGTTGGTTAATTAATTCAAAGCCTGATTGAACAGGTGATCTTACACTGTGTGCTGTCATCATACTAGTGTAATTATTACACGAAGGGCCAAAATCTCCAAAACTGGCATAGAAAGGAGTAAACTAAACTACTCTCCCCCTTCTGGCCTACCAAAAAGCCCATTGCACCACAGCAGGAATTTATCTCCCGTGGCAGCTGGCTTTTATAGTGCTCCCCTGCCTCAGATTTAGACTAGGGATGGAGGGGCAGCTTTACATTTCACCAGCACACCAATGGAAATTCACCCGTGAGATACTGCACTGAGCCATCAAACCAGCATAACATTCAACCTGGTCTGCATATACCCTCCTTGATGCCAGCACTGCCTATCTCTCACATTGTGCCAACCACTTTACACACCCTCCTTTCCTGCCCCATCCCCAAAATGCAGATGCAGGATCCATTAGGCCAATATTTTATAACTTGTCTTTTTAGGAGGAATTTTTTTTTAAATTAAAATTGGATATTTGGAGTGCGCTGGGATTCTCGTTTGTTTGCTTGATTGATTTTAATAATAATAATAAAAAATAAGCAGGAACTGCAGCTGCTTGCTGCCTGTGAAGACTAGGCCCCAGAGGCAGCTCTCATGCCAGGGTTCTCTGCCATCCTTCTAGTCAGTTTAAACCCTCCCACTGCCAGTGATTTTTGCTCTAAATTAGAGCTGTTAAAAAAATGCAGAAACATTTTCAGTCAGGATTTCCCAAAAATTCGCCACTCTGTGAGCTGGTCAAAAAACAGCAAAAATGTTTCATTAATTGTTCCACTAAAGCCATGTGAAAAGTTTGTGTCTCAGCATGTTTACAGTTGCCCCTCTTTAAAACTAGCTTTGCGTTCAAATCCACTTCCCGGAGTAGACGCTAGTACTGCAACTCCCGCAGTGGAGACGATGATAAATTGTTCAGATAGGAGCAACTCTTCTTTACAGGAAAGGGAAGGAGACAGGATATCAAAAGAAACTCCTCATCTTTAATCCCTATGTAACCCTCCTGCCAGGTGGAGCCAGCAGCAACAAGGGCCAGGTTCTATATCCAGGGGTCCCCCTTAACAGTATAACATAGAACCGGCTCGAGTCCCCACCCAATCATCTGGGAAAATTAAACACCACCACGGGCACCTCTAAGGGGCAATACTTCCCCACTCGCAAGCACTGAGTCTGTGGACAGCAGAGAAAACTTTTAACAAAAAGAGGAAAGGAACCTGGCATTAATTTGGGAAAACACCACAGCCATGATTCGAATCCACCTGCCCATGAAGCCAAGCTCCCGCCCCAGAGTACACTGGGGAGTGTTCTTTGCCTCTGTTTCTCACCTTGCAGTGAACAAATGTCCCTTTAACATGCCACTCCCCTCTCCCTCCACCGCACCACACTCACAGCTGCTGTCCTTGGTCAGCAGAGGCGATAAGCAGGCAACTTATCAGAGGTGATAAGTAGGCAAGTTCACCTCCCACCTGGAGAGGCGGAGAAAGAAACGTTGAATGATGCCTTCACGCTGCCATCACCACAACTGGCTCACAATTGCTGCCGTTCACTCTGCATCGCTGCCTGCAGCCACAACTGCACCGTCATTCACTCCGCTGCTGTCGTTTCTCATCGTACCACTGTTCACTCCACCGCACTGTTGTCTGCTCTGTCACCAATGGCCCTGTGCCGTCACCTTCTGCTGCCACCCACCTCTCTACTGTGACCTGTGTGAGTCAGTCTCTTGAGGTTCCACCCACTGTGATTTCAGCTCTCCATGGGGGAACCTCACTGCTAGTGCAGGATGGGCAGTCTCTTCCATCTAAACACTGTCCTGCAGCAGATCTAAGCACTTAGATCTGATTATCAGTGATTTCAGCTCCAGGGATCACTTAACAAAACAAAAGACTCTCCATGGAGCCTAATCAGCTCTCTCTTTAAACAGGAGAGAGGGGCAGGTCAAATGGTGCTCTTGACTTAGGCAGAGCCCACACCACCAGGTAGAAACCACTTTCCCCATGATCTCCCTCCCTCCCTCCACTGGGATCTGAACTCCCTGATTAGCGAATTCAGTTCTTTTGAGGACAGCCCTCAATCAGGACAGGCTAAGTACACTTCTGCTGCCTTCTACTCATACAATAAGGATAATTTCATCGTAACCCAACACCAGCCAAAATTGATCACTTTGGCAACACAGCTCTGTCTGATGGATACCTAGGCAGAGTGGGTGTGTTCATGTAAATAGAGTCTGGTCCTGAAGCCTTTTCCTCCCAGCTCATCACTAGCTGACAGGGGAGAGCTCATTCAGACCTCGCAAAAAGAAAAGGAGTACTTGTGGCACCTTAGAGACTAACCAATTTATTTGAGCATGAGCTTTCGTGAGCCACAGCTCACTTCATCAGATGTGTACCGTGGAAACTGCAGCAGACTTTATATACACACAGAGAATATGAAACAATACCTCCTCCCACCCCACTGTCCTGCTGGTAATAGCTTATCTAAAGTGATCAACAGGTGGGCCATTTCCAGCACAAATCCAGGTTTTCTCACCCTCCACCCCCCCACACAAATTCACTCTCCTGCTGGTGCTAGCCCATCCAAAGTGACAACTCTTTACATAATCAAGTCGGGCTATTTCCTGCATAGATCCAGGTTTTCTCACTTCCCCCCCACCCCCATACACACACAAACTCACTCTCCTGCTGGTAATAGCTCATCTAAACTGACCACTCTCCAAGTTTAAATCCTTAACTTGGATTTAAACTTGGAGAGTGGTCAGTTTAGATGAGCTATTACCAGCAGGAGAGTGAGTTTGTGTGTGTATGGGGGTGGGGGGAAGTGAGAAAACCTGGATCTATGCAGGAAATAGCCCGACTTGATTATGTAAAGAGTTGTCACTTTGGATGGGCTAGCACCAGCAGGAGAGTGAATTTGTGTGGGGGGGTGGAGGGTGAGAAAACCTGGATTTGTGCTGGAAATGGCCCACCTGTTGATCACTTTAGATAAGCTATTACCAGCAGGACAGTGGGGTGGGAGGAGGTATTGTTTCATATTCTCTGTGTGTATATAAAGTCTGCTGCAGTTTCCACGGTACACATCTGATGAAGTGAGCTGTGGCTCACGAAAGCTCATGCTCAAATAAATTGGTTAGTCTCTAAGGTGCCACAAGTACTCCTTTTCTTTTTGCGAATACAGACTAACACGGCTGTTCCTCTGAAACCATTCAGACCTCGGTTACACTTAGGCCATGTCTACACTTACCAGCTTACAGAGGCACTGGAGTAGGCCACAGTAGCCTTTTGACACACCATAGCATATTGGCTTTGTGTGTATGAATGAGTGATGTTGCTTTCTAGTGACTGACTCAGAGAAGATAAGGGACCTAATTACTATCAACAGCCACAGGAGCTCTCTTTTAGCTCAAGTGATAAAGGTGTGTGTTTTGGGGGCTGAAGGACGAGACTTCTAGGGTAAAATCCTGGCTCCACTAAAGTCAGTGGCAAAATTTCTATTGACTTCATTGGTACCAGGATTCCACACCCTACTGCTTGTATAGTTGGATCAATAGATTCTTTACAATTCCACCCTGAATTTCCATATTCTCACTGCATCAATGTATGATACTTCACTAACTTCAGCTGTATGATTACCGCACAAATCACGTAAGTGGGGTCTTGTCTAAATGAAACCTTGCATTTCCCTTGACACATAAGTAAAAGCAGTCCTGCAGCATCACAAGAATGAGAATAACATCCTATTCTCACCACAGTGTTTGCAAAGGAAATAGCAGGGTCCACTGAAGTGAACTGAAAGATTGATCGTAAGAGTTATATGAACACATACACACCACTTCTTTCTGCCTTACCACTTTGAATTTTCTGTGGACATTCCAAAATGTGTGAAAACAAAGATGATTCAAGTTTTCCCTCGCAGTTTATTGTTTGAATTTCAAAGTGATGCTCACTAGCACCTACATAATTATCTAAATGAGCTAACTTTGCAGCTCAAAAGGTGCCCTTTAGATCCATAGAACTGAACTGACGTATGAGCTTTGCACATTATTTGCATCATGAAAAATCCTATTAAAATAAATAGGACTCTAGTCTATGCCATGCTTTTGAAAGTGACTATTGTAGTATGAAACAAAAGGGAAAATGTGCTATATGGACAGATGTTAATCTAACACCACAAAATCTATTTAAACAAAAAAAAGGGGAAATTTCTATCATTATTTTGCAAGAGATTTTGTAGCAGGAAGACTAATAAGCATACAAGATTCATTTGCATAATCTGAGCAAGGCTGCATTGTTTAGACAAGAAAATCCACACATTGCTTTTGTTTCCTTTTATTTGTAAACATTTTTAGTTAGGGAATGTAATGGAATAGCATCCGTTTGAAATCCAGGCAACTTCAGAAAATTAGTTAAAAGTAATCTCCCGGACTATGCCTCCTCCTTTCCACAGCTGCCAGTTCTTGTGGGTTTCTAATATTTTCTTTATGTTAAGAAAATTCCCTTTTGATCTGTACAAGACCCACACAAAACAGAGCAACTGAATAATTGACTGTACAT